TTTCATAACTTTCACAAATCAGAGTTCTTGATGGTTCATTTTAATGGGACCATTTTGGAAATTATAATTGCCTATGAAAACTCCCACCACCCAGAAACTTCCTACGCTGCTACCTATCGCCCCAACCAACCTGCGTTCCCAGTATTCCTCTCTGCTCCGTGAAAGAAAAAGATCTATTTTAACACTCTCGCTTACCTCCGGTTTCGAATTCTACCCAAAATGTGGTACTGCTGTCCTATTGAAAAACTTGGACCACAGAAGTGCTGGAATGAGGACCAGCCCTTCTGAACCGAAAATTCCATGTTGTGATAATAATTCAAGCCCACCCACCCTCACCCCCACGATTTAAAAAAAACACCCCAGTCTAGTAGAGCTTACACAATATTTGGGAATTTGTCCTAGGCCCAATATGGCCACCCCTGCCTTTAGCTATAAATTTGCTGTCAAGGGTCACCACCTGGTTTGCGACTTTTGGTTACGTGCCTGCAAGGAACAAATCCAATTCCATTTAATAGGATTTATTGGGTCCCAATCCAGTGTAACCTTCCTGCACCAGGGGACTAACAGTTTAGCTCTCGGAGTTGTATTTTCTTGCAAAGTCTACCAAATCTCACCTGGAAAAACTGCAAACGATATCCCGAACTTAATGTCAAGGGCCCTGTGCATGGTTTTTTTTAAACAAAAAGCAAGTATCACCCCCTCAAAAGCCCCAGCAAATCAACTGATTGATTGCCAAAGGAGTAGGGTTGTTCTCCAACCAAAACAACAGACCCCCTCAATCCTATCACATTTGACAGGATGCCATGGCCCACCAAAGGGGAAGCGGAAGGATCTAATTGTTCAGATTGACTTCATTTGGGGGAAAGTAGACCTCCTAATGTGGAAACACTAGCATTCTCACTGATGTCAGAAAGACCCAGCACTCCAAGAAATTTAATTTTCCTATGGATCTTAAACACTCCTAAACTTCAACGCACTGCAATTTCCGTTGAGGGTTAGAAAACACCCTATTATATTTTTTTAATTATTATTATTTTTAAAAATTAACTCATCCTAGCACGTATGAGTTAAAGGAGGTGGGGGATTCTTTAGAGTTTCTACTGGGTTTATTTCAAAATAAATGGGTTCTGAGGATCTCTGTATTTGAATGGCTGCAGGTTGGAAACGCCAGGAAGTTTTGCTGCCTTTCTTGGTGTAAGACGAAAAGGCCAAACACGTCCACGAAGAGTAAGGGCTGAATCTCGGTTGGCCTTGAATAGATACTGTGCCGCTCAGCTCCTGATTTCCATTGAAATTGGCCTTTTAATACTTAAGGTCCAGCTTTATAGGGATATAGGGACGTCGTGTGATTAGCAGATAATCCTGCTCACTTTAGGTACAAACAGAGAATCCTCGGGAACACGCGCATCTCCATCAGTCGCCAAAGTAACCAGCGCACCTTTTTGCCAAAGGAATAATGCGCGCCTGGATTCCGATTGGTAATCCACGCAGGCTGTCATTGGATCTCTGCTTTCACAGACTGATCGGTTTGTCTGCGTTCCTAATATTATGCTTCTTCCAAAACTCTGCACCCATAGCACATTTTTAGTACAGGCCATGCTAAGAGGCATGCGCAAAAGTGAAGATATTTTAATTGTGCTTGTATATTTTTTGCTTTCAGCAAAAGTGTGACTTAACTTGCACGTTCAGAATCGGAAGGTGAACCCTAATTCCTTGTCAGCCGCATACAGCAGATCTATCTTATACATTTTAGTCCCGATTCAGTTCTATGGAATTTAGGGGGTTTCAAAGGAAGACTATGATTATGGGCTTGCAGGTTTTTTTTAATACAGTATATTGATTTCTTTCCACAATTACCTATCTCAAAAGGATATTTACGATCGCTATCTGTTGGGTTTCAGGAGTCAAGAGAGGGAGCGGAGGGTTTTCGAGAAAGATTTTCTACCTTCAGGAATAATGCTTGGTAGTTAACTACTTAGTTACTCACACTTTAAAGTTGTTGTTTGTTGTGTGCAGTCATAGGGCACATGACGACACAGGGCATTTTCAAGGCATTTGAAACGTTGAAATCCTGAAGCCGGTTGGCGCAAACTTATGCCTGTTTACTAGGAAGTAAATCCCGCTTTACTATTAGGATCTTGGAAGTCACAAAATCATAAACTGTCATAATCCGAAAGCGACTTGATAGCGCACCGTCTTTAACGCGCTTTACGAAGGAGTTTAGGTCACTAAATGCCATTGGTCTCAGTGAGTTTTACTTCTGAGTCAATACGGCTAGAGACCCAGAAAGATTGCTCACTGATGGTCAGTAAGGCCAACACTCCGATCCACGACGCCTGGCTTTTAAAATCCATTTCGACCCCCCTTCACTGAGAACAAGTTGATTTCCAAAAGCAAAGCCGAAGACCTGGAGTTAGGAAGAGATGGGAAAAAAATTCCCATTGCAGCCCTAGAATATTTTAGCCAGAAGGGCCAGTGGCTGGCTCCTGTTCTCTGGGAATGGTAGTCCAGAAAAGTAACGCTGCCTATTAAGACCGTGCGCATCTGGAGCTTATTTCCAGTGGTGAAATCCGGACGCAACCGCCTAGCTGCAGTGTGCGCACGTTTTCCAAGCCGCCGCTTCTCAGTTTTGCCAGAAATGGTTGCTTTTCTGTTAAATGATGACCTCTTGGCTTTGTTCATTAGCCGCACCAAAGCAGGTATCCAAGCAAGCTATTAGCTACCGACGCAGATCCTCGTGCTACTCTGGCAAACGCGGGTGAAAAAGCCTCACCCACACCGGATGAAATTTAATTTATAAACCCACAACTAGCTAATAATAGCCATGGGATTTTAAATTATTTTAACCGGAATTTGGAAGACGGAAATTACTTTCTTTTTTTTCTTTCACGAGCATTCTTTATATATATATCAAAGCAAAAGTAAGTCAACTACAACTGAGTAAATTGCTTTAAGTCCATGGTCTTTGAAGTACGGCGTTCATTTAGGAAGGGAGTGAAAATGGAATATAAAAGAAGGGATTTCTCCATCTACCCTAATCGAATCGGATAAAGAAATGCATAGACCCCCTTCTCCCCACAAGAAATTGGCACTGTTGGCATTAAAGAGCCTGGACATTCGTTCTCCGTTGGGCTCTAACAATGCACAACACACTAATCGTCTCCTTCAAAATATTTGCCAGGCAGCCCTATTCTAATTAGTTTTAAGGATTCCTGGCGATGAGGGAAACAACGCTTCGCATGTGTCTGAAGAATATGCACAGTTTACTACCACTATGATTAAACCAGACGGATATGAGAGAGGACCATGGGAATCTGCAATCAAGAGAGAACGCTTTCCAAGCTTATGCCGGAGTCACTCCTTCAAGGCTACACCTAAAGCAAATGGAACCAGATTCTCAGTGGGTTTCCGCAGTTTGCTTCCGTAGATTTAGAAGTCAAGATTGTACTACAATTGCCAGCTAATGAGACGCTGGTTCTACCAGGGGGGTGGGGCGCCTTCTTTGCCTGTAGGTTGGTGGCTTCACAGAAAGGGATGATCAATAACAGTTAACTCGTTCTTCACCCTTCGCGATTTCTTGTTGGGTTTTCGAGATTTCCCATATGTTGAAGGCGCAGGTTCACCTTTGCTATTCCCAGTGAGCTTGCAAGGCCTAGCCAGGGATTTGAACCCAGGTCTCCTGAATCCTGACCACGCTACACTCAAGATTTATTATAGCCCAACGCAAGAGGAATGTCTTTGCTTTTCTGTGGGGCCTTGATCTGACACAATGGCCTTTTGGAATTCGAGATTCATTTAAACCTATGCATATCGGCTTAAAAGTCAGCCCCACTGAACTCAGCCCGATTCTGACGCTCGCAGACCCACAATCACAGAGCCATATGTATTACTTACTCCCCTTACTGAATGCTTCATAACGTCATCAAAATAAGCAAGCCAATATCTCTCCGCTAAAGGAAACGGGGGGCGGCGGTGAGGGGGTGGTGGAAGCCTGCAATCCAAAATGGAGAGTAGACACGAGAATAAGAACAGCTTGGAAGTTTCTAAGAAAAGTTGCACGAGGTCAGACCTCCCCTTCCTCGCGAGAATCCAAGTCTGTGGTCAGTAACGCGACCGCACCTCTAATCCAGAAACTGAAGTGCTTGGAAACACCGATGATCAGATGACAGGGCATCTGGGTGACAGCCCGGGGACCCCCTCTGCGGAAGGAGCGGATCCCTGGGCAGTCAAGTATTACACATCGGTTTCTCAAGAAGCCACTCCCTCCGTATGAACACAAAACACGAACTCTCTAACCTAAAAATAATTAAATACACCACTAGGCTTCTCTCTCTCTGTTAAAGAGTTTTCCCTTTAGTATGTTTCCGCAAAAACAAGCCAAGGCGGTAATTGTGTGTGTGTGTGTGTAATTCTTGAAGGGAGCACATTTCAGGGCCATTTTCCCTGTTACACCATTGATTTGGTGTCGGTGGCACTCTTGAATGAGCCGCAATCCGGAGCACGTTCACCTTCCCAGAAATTTCCCCTGGACACAGTCGGACCCCCTTTGCCCAGAACAGCAGGGGATCCTTCTGGGAATCTGGTCGGGATGGCTGGCGAGAAACTTGCAGGGGCTCCCCGTCATCATCCCCCTCGAGTTCCAGCGTCCTTTGTAAAGGCCCCACTTCCATGCCAGACTGGAAATGCCTTTTTTTCCTGACTTGGCAGCCAGGTACTAAGTTACTGCATTGCTCGGAAAAGTTACTTTTGGCACCTCCGACACCCAGAACCCATCCTGTCCACATGGCCCTTGGCTGTGCGATTCGGGGATTCGGGGAGTTTTCGGTCTCAAGAGTAACTTTTCCAGGCGCTGCGCGTGCCACGTTGAAGGCCACAAGCAGGCTCTGTCCGAGATGCAAGCAGCCTTCTTCTCCCGCGGGGCTCAAAACAGAAAGTGGAGTGACGGGGGCGGTGAGGGGAGGGAGGGGGACCGAAAGGAAGAGGAAGGCGTCTCTCCTTACCCGTGCCAGCCCACTGTCCTTTCCAGGCGTGCGATTTGGTGGATTTCATCCAAGGGAAGGGCAACGGCGCCCTCGGCTCCTCGAGCCCCCCAGGGTCCGTCCCGTCTCCAAAAGGGAGCGCTTCCTGGTGCGCGTGAGCGAGCTGCGGATGATGGTGTTGATGGTGGTGGTGCTGGTGCGGGTGGGGTTGGAGGTGGGAAATGCCGGGATCTTCCGTGATAGGGGGCACCTCGTAGGGGGAAATGTCTGGCGGGCTGCCTTGTTCCAAGGCTCCCAAAACGTTGGGGTAAGGGGGCTGCGGAGGCGGCGGAGGCTGTTGCTGGGGCTGCCGGCCCATGTACAGGCAGGCTGGCGGGGTCTGGCTGTTAAAATCCTGGGGCGGCGCTCTCTGGAAGGCGCACGCCTCCTTGTAGAGTTGGCTGGCGGCGTAGTACTGGTCCTCGGCGTTCATCGCGAAGAGGGCGAGCGAGCGGGCGAGCCAGGCGCTGAGCGGCACCCGCCCCAAGCCCTCGGGCTCAGCCTTTGACAGGTTCGCCTCACCTGCCCGAGGTGCTGAAGAAGCCCCGAGGACCGGGACACCTGGGGGAGTTTTCCATTGGCTCACTGGCAAGCCACGTGAGAAGGGATCGGGGCCTCATTGGGCGGCCCTTTTCCAATGAGAAGCATCCTTCCTTAAACTTGGGACCCTAGCCTTTCTTTCGCTTTCTTCCTCTGAAGAAATGGATTGGCTTACTTCTTATTTTGTACGCTCGGAAGTGACTTAGAGTGTTTCCCTTCTTAACGCAGAATTCCTGATCCAAACAGGGAGGGTGACTCATCCCCTAAAATTTGGAATCTGTGTGATGCCGAATGTTAAGTTTTGGGGAAAGGCTGCTGTAAACAAGATCCATCCAAGGTGGGTCTTGCCCCCTTGCCATTTAGGGGAAGTCCTTGCCCTTTAGGAAAGGTTTTGTATTGCCAGTTTCGGAGCCCCTCTCAGAATGATCAGGATCAGCTCCCATGACCTTGCTCACCCCCCAGCAAACAAAGATCCGAGGAGTATTAATCATCCTGTCAGAAATAGGCGCTTTGCAACAGGTTCCTAACCGCAGCTGAGTCGGAAGGAAGAAGCAACAAGAATCGTGCTTAGAACGGGGAACATAACAATCAAAGCAAAGAGGCTTCCTGAGCATGTGCAAAGTGCAACGTGGGTGTAATTAACGGAAGGGATTTCTGAGTGTCTGGAAAGTGGAATACCGGACAGCATTAAAGCGAGAGGTTGTCTGAGCGTGTCCAGGGTGTATTGCTTTTCCTCTGACTTACTAGCAATAACTGCTTCCTGACCAATAACGTGGCTTTTCTGGGCTGTTATAACAATAACTTCGTGGACTGAGTCGGGATGGAGAGGTACAATCACTAATTATAGCTGGAAGGAGACAGTTCTCAAGTAAAGAGAGCGTTCTGGTGCTTCTCTCAAAATAAATAAGCGTAAAACCCAAGGGTATCTTTCTGCCCGAGTGTCGATAATGCAGCTAACTTTGTTTTTTCGAGCCCGGTCTACAAACCATTTTTACCGGAAAAGTGAGTCGCTGTCGTCATAATCGCTGTGGTTAGTATCGTTACAGTTTTAATGGAGGTTCCCTGTTAGTTCTCAAGGGGCAAAGTGATGCGCATTTCTTATGCCTTTGCTTAAAGGCGAGATCTGCGTGCATCTCGGCACCAAGAGACGAGTACATACTGTATATTTGAACTGGTTTGACCCTGACCTCACCATGGCGACAAACCACGCCCGTGATTCCTCGCGGACCCCTTGGACCCCTTTGTAAAACATCCCTGCAGGAAAGATTGCGTTGTGGGTGCTTCCTGAAGGCACCTCGGAATAATTCCAGTGGAGCGCCTTGCGCTCAGCTTCAGCTTGAAATCTCTGCTTCGGGCGGGGGGGGGGGGCGGCGGCCAGGAAAGTAGCTGGGGAGGGAAGGAAAGGGCAGGGAGGGAGGGGAAAGGGCCGGCTGGTGTCGGAGCGGAGGACTGTCCTCCCCGTCGAGGAAACCGGCAGCTGGCGGGGCGCCGCTTTCCCTCCCGTTTGTTTAAGCTCAATCAACAAGTGTCTAGGATTGTTGAATTTTAAACCTCTAGCCTGGGAAACCTGTCGACCCACCGAGTGAATTCTATCAGGCAGAGATTAGAAAAGGCCACCGGGCTGCTTATCGCCTTCCTCCCTTCCAGCACCGGGGAGGCTGCGCGGGCAAACAGAAGAGAAACCTTTCCTGAAACTCGCGTGCATGCGTTTGAACGGCGTGGTCTATCAGAGGGCCTCCGGGACGGAAAAACGAGAATACGTCGAAGCTTTGGCTACATGCCCCCGCTGCAAATATTTGCGCACACCTTGCCTTTTTTATTCTACCATTCAAGGCTTTGCGCCCATTTCAAGCTACAGAAACACAGAATGTTATAATATGACTATATACTACATGACACAATGTGGGAAAGTGTGATGTAGCGGTTCCAGTGCTGGGCAAGGATTCAGAAGACCTCGGTTCCATCCCAGCGTGGGAGAATTACTTTTCTTGTTACAATAATGGGAATTTTTTCCAAGTCGACATTCTCCCTGTTGAATGCGGGATTCTAGGAGTTGTAATTTAAAAAGCGGGGGGCGATCTTTTTCCAAATTCTCCTATTATATATCCAATTAGTGATTCAACCAATCAATTATTATGGCCAAGATGAAATAACTTGTTTGTTTCTCACTTGCTCTATATCAACACTTCCCAGGGTGGGATATCATAAATAAACACCCCAAAAGAATCTAAACCAATTCAAATACTTTAAACTCATTTAAATCTCTTATTATTTATTTATTTAAAATATTCTTATGTGGCCTTTCTCCCAAAGGGTCCAAGCTGACTTACAGTACTTTAAAAAGCACTTAAAATCTCTAAAACCAAAATATATGATAGCTGAATGACTAAATTTGGAGTACAGTGCACAGAGCATCTCTGTATGAGAAAAACATTTGGGACATGATTTATTGCATGGGTGTGGGACATGGGGAGGGTTTACTCACAGTGGCAGGAGATGGGGAAAATAACAGTGAAATTAGAAGCGCAATGGCTATACTAGTGTCCCATGCCTTTAGCATTAGTGGTTCTGGTTGAGTCTGAGATAAGTTTGGCAAGAGCTTTCCCCATAGCTTGCTGCAGCCAAAGTAGATTAAGCCAAACCTATTCTTACAGTATGATTAAGTCTGGATTGAAGCCATTCTCTGTGATAGGACAAGGTGATTCATGTCCATATACACATGTGTGTGTGTTTGTGTGTGTGTGTGTGTGTGTGTGTATGTATGTATTATGTGTGTGTGTATATATGTATGTATGTATATATATGTGTGTGTGTATGTATATATGTGTGTGTATATATATGTATATATATGTGTGTATATATATGTATGTATGTATATGTACAGTATATCACAGAAATGAGTACACCCCCTCGCATTTTATAAATATTTTAGTATCTTTTCATGTGACAACACTGAAGAATTGACACTTGTCTACAATGTAAAGCTGTATAGCTTGTATAACAGTGCAAATGTCCTGTCCCCTCAAAATAATGCAAAACACACACATATATGTGTGTGTATACACATATATATATACATGCATATATATACATGCATATATATACATATACATGTACATACACACACACACACACATATATATACACACACACATATATACACACACACATATATACACACACACACACACATATATATATATATATAAAGTAGACTGATGTGATGTGATGGGGCATCTCTTCTCACCTTGTGCATTAGAACCTTACCTGTGAATCAGCTCATTGTATGAATGATACTGCAGGACTATATCTAGATTGAGTACATTGATTCATTTAGAGGTAGTTGGGTCATCTGAAAAAGGTTGACCCCTGGAGATAAATAATCTGCTTCTTCCCAGCTGGAACTGGTTGACTTGGTGACAAGGCTATGGTGGGGGCGGGTGGTTGTGGAAAGCTGCCCAAAGGACAAAGATCGTTTCCCTTACCTGGTCTCACTCACATGCATTCGGTTCTCACTCATACACTACTCATATATTGACTTTGCACTCTTTATCTAATTGCAACTTTCTCTCAAAATTAAACCCATGTCGTTGGGTCGCCACATGACATCTAATTCCCTGTGATGCAGCAGATAGAGGAATTATGAAGGAATTAAACCTGGCAAGTGCTAAGGAGAGAATGGAAACAAACCCTTTCTTTGTCCTCCTCTGGTATATCTTGTTCATCAATCCCTGAGTGCTTTATCTGACACTCCATAGCTCAGAGTCAACATGGAGGGTTGACATGCTGGGAATATGCTGACATCAGTGATGGTGGTAGTGGCACCAGGAAGAAGAATGACTTGTCCAAAATCTAGATCTGACATTATAACAGCTACTGAAAGAGTCCCATCTTTTTTTTATTATTCTCACTATTCCACAGCTTACTTAGCCTGGTATCCTCCATATGCTTTGGACTACAACTTTCATCATCCCTGGTGATTGACCATGCCGGCCAGGATCAACTGGGGTGCTTTCACACAACTGTTATCATTGTCTACTCAACACTCAGTTGTTTACTCGACACTCAGTCATTCACAACAGATGTCCTGGGAAACACCGGATGTGGAAGTTCGACTTGCAGTGTGCGATGTAGGTTGTCTCATGTGTATCATCCCTGGATGGTACAGTCAGCAAACAATGGTGGACGTGCAGGTATGAACCAACCTGGTAGAAACTATTGAGCTGAGAGTACCTCTTCAAATCCCACCATCAATCTTGAACTCTCCAACTGTGTAATGACAAATATGTCTGCTTAGTAATAAATACCCCTGAAATCATGGGTGGTTATTTGGATGTATTTGGCATGTAACCTAAGTGTTTCTTCCCCCCCCCCTTCATCCTCCCTCTCTGCATTATGGAAAGCTGGACTAATTGTCAGGGCTATTGTATGGTTTGCTAACAAAATGGATAAGAAAATGGAGGAAGGGGGTTGGAAATCCTGAAGCTTATGAGCTACACGTAGCTACTGTCAGGAGATATATATATATATAAACTATTACCATCAGGAAGAAAGCAAAGTGGCTGTCCAACGAGGCCTTAGAAATAGCAGAGAGGAGAAGGGAAGCAAAATGCAAGGGAGATAGGGAAAGTTACAGAAAATTGAATGCAGACTTCCAAAGAATAGCAAGGAGAGACAAGAGGGCCTTCTTAAAAGAACAATGCAAAGAAATAGAGGAAGATAACAGAAAAGGAAAGACCAGAGATCTGTTCAGGAAAATTGGACAGTATGAAAACTATCAATTATTCATTTAATTGACTGTGAACCAGTGTCCTCTTTGATTTATGGAAAATATCAAATGGGCTACTGGCAGAAAGAGAAGCAGAAAGAATGAAGGGGAAAAAAAACAAAGTT